CTGAGCTCCGCCTGAAGCCGGCCCTGAATCAGTTCGCCTGTCCATCCCGTATCCACCACGTCACCTCTTTGCCTATCTAAAGCTTGGCAGTTTTCACAACACGGCTGATCCTTCCTCAGAGAACAGCCGAGATTTCCGCTCTCATTCCCTGCAATGCACAGAGCCTCAAACCAGGCCTCAAACCAGGCCTTCCCAAGATCTGTGCTAACACGTTTTGCACCCTCAGCCCTTAACATCTGCGGGGAGCAGGAGCTCCAGAGCGCACACGCAGCTGGGCTGCCGTGACGTGTCCATGTGAGCGCTTTTGCTGAGATTTTCTTCTCAAAAGGGAAAACGGTGGAGTCGTTCCAGCAAAAGAAACCACAACTCTTCAAGCCTTATGAGTAGTTTACCTAGCAGATGCTGAGTGTGCCAACAGTTTTTCAGCTTTCTTACAAGCCTTGAGAATGAATGCTAAGGAGCTGGGGGCAGCTGCAGTATTAGGCCTGGAATTAAAACCAGTCTGGGGCAGCGTGATAGATTTGGGCTGAAGACCCTCCGTGGTGCCCCGCAGCAGCTCACCCCCATAACGGTGCTGTGGGGCTGCCCGCTGCGGGGACGCTGCTGAGCCCGGGGAGCCGCCGGCCGCCCAGGGGGAGAAGCTCCCATCGCGCCCTCGGCGTCGCGCTCCTCAGCGCAGCGGGCGGGAGCATGAAGACAAGCGCCCGGTCGCGCTGGGAACCCGCGGGACACGCAGGTGCGCGGCGCTGCGGACTGGCGGCGCCTTGTGACATCACGACAACAACGGTTCCGAGCTGCACAAAACACAGCGCGATTCCCCCGATTCCCAGGGTTCCAAACAACAGTCTGGAACTACAGTTCCTCAAAGGCAGCCCTAGGACCCGCGACAGCGCTCAGCAGCTTCGCTCCCCTCCTATCACCATCCTCTGCCCCGGCCGCTCATCTTTGCTCCTGAACATTCAAGTTATGTTTTTCGCTCACAGTTAAATTCCCATTTGGCCCACAAAACACTTTGGAATCTCAGAAGAGAAATGGGTCTTATAAACCTGTAGAAAGGATTATAAAGGATTACATGCCCTTATTACACCGCTGCCTGCTGTGGGAAGAGTCTCGAGGCCCACTTCTCCCTACAGCAAGTGCAGACTTTCATTAGAGGTCTAGGAAGTGGAAAAAATGGAGAGCAGGAGAAATGTTAATTATTCTCAGGAGAAAATATGCACTTCTTCTGTTCATTTCCACACAATCCTTCACTTGCACAGCTCTACACCCTTCCCTGCTCCCCAATTTCTCTATGGTGATTACCCCTCCATTCCATCAGCATCTTCAGGACAGCAAGGGTCCCAACTGGCTGCTTCCCTCCTCCTTCCCGGTAATCCACAGCCGGCCTGGAGCACTGCGGGAAGACTGCTAGAGGAAAAGCATCCTGACCCTAAAGCGTACCTTGGACAAAGGCAAGTGAAACAACAATCTGATAGGAAACTCTGCTCAGTTCCACACATGTCCCATGGCCCATCCACGGTCCCACACATCTTGGCAAAAGCAACACTCATTAATTGCAAGGGGCCTGCGCACCACGGGCCGCTTTAGTGCCCTGTCTTGCCAGCAAACTTCAGCCAGTTTAACATACACCTCGCTTTACGCCATCAGTTTGGCACGACTCTTCTTGGAGCCTTTGGTTCGTCCAGTTGCAACCCTTTTCTGCACAGCAAGCAGATTTTCTCCCCTGTTGCCCTTAGAACCCTGGGGCAAGGCAGCTCCTGCGTGATGACATCCAAGTGACACGAGACCCCTGCCACGTGGGCGGTGCTGGCAGGGC